GGGCTGAATTGCACAAAACGCATGATCGCACCGGCTAGTCTGGTGCGCGTTGCCATTTATTTTATTCTCAGGACAGTTATGTTGAGCACTATTTTCTGACCTTCCGTTGAGTCAAAAGACTCAGCGTCCTTCCCTCTTTTGTTGAGCTAAGTGTTGATGGTAGCAGGGGATATGAAGTGAGATAGTGCGGGATAGATCTGTGTATGATAAAAAAATTACATTAGTTGTGACGTGCTTTCGCCGATAAAAGAACTTTTTTCATTCCAATTATCAATGCAAATGGATTTCCATTACAATTTCTAGCTGTATTCTAGCAGATATACTGGCTATGCCTGGCATTTGCTATAAATCTTCTACATGTAGTTGCAGCTCATGTAACTTTTATGGATATGTTTCATATTCAGAGTGCTTTCTACGAGTTGTTACATGGTACTTCGTTTGAGGATTCGCTAATTGCAGCGATATCACGTGGTGGCGATACGGATACAAATGGTGCCATAGTTGGAGCCCTTCTTGGCAAGTCTTACTCCCTTTTGCTACATTCTGTCATATTTAAATTTCTTTCATTGCTAGTCTCACGGTTGAGAAATAACATTCATTTTAACCTTAAAGGCTTGATGCTGAAAAGCTGCACGTTACTAATTGCGGGAGCCGGGTTTTGGAGTTCATAATTCTTCAGTTACATCATCGAGGCGTGGAAAAATCCTGCAGAACAGCCTTCTTAAAATTGATCGTCATTTTTCAACCACTTGCATTCTTCATACTGCTCATCTACCAGAAAATTATGTCGTCTTGCAGGTTCACGTTATGGTGTTGACGAAATTCCAGAAAAATGGATCAGTACTGTGACGAATAGCAGGCCTCGTTCTGAGCTGAACGTAATTGATCATAATGTTGAACGCATCGTAAAGAAATTACTGATTTTGAACAGATAAATTGTTTGATACACTCAGGCTGTTTATCCGCGGGTGGCTACCGAGGCAGGCACTGGAAAGCTGTGCTTATGCCTGAATGAAAAATTCAAAACATTCTTTGATCATTATTAGCGTAGGGCCGACTTACCTTCACTGCCGGTTGACATTCATCAGGCCAAGCCATAAATTCGTTTTATCCGTGTTTGAGTCGTATGGATTACCACTTTTTATGCTTTTGCTTTTTATAGCAAAAACGCTGCGGGCTAGCTGGAGCGACCAGAGTATACTTTTTGCTATGGGAGTGGGAGGAGGAATCGGAAGGGTTAAGCGAAGTTTTGGCGCTTTGACAGTGTATGGCAAACTTGATAAATGTGTGGCATAGCTCTCGATTCGTTGCAGTACAATAACTGGCAAATTTTGCTTCCATTTCCAGTTCAAGTACTTTTGTTTTTTGTTGACGTGTAACCAGCAGCCTTTACAAGAACAGCGTGCTGAGTTTTGCGTTTTTTTTATCAGTATATTTTGCATAGTTGTTCATTTAGTTCGGTCTTTATCCGGTAGGGAGCAGCAACATCTTGCTTGCATAGCTGCACTCCGCGCGACAGTTCAATTGCAGTAATATCGAAGGCTCCATGCAGTACTTCGGCCGATCTTGTTGATCAATGCCTTTCCAGTATTTTAGTGGCCTTGTGTTCAGGCCAGCTGCAAACTAGAAAAAGGTCCTGGTGCGTTACAATAGAATGAGTTGGGTAACACGATGACGAGGTCGGAGACGGACTGTGTAAACTTAACGAGCAGGCGAACATGGACCGCAAATGGGATGCCGATATAAGAACGATAAAGCTCAGAACATAAATGAGCAGTGAGTGGGAAGTAGAAGCAAGTAACGAAGCGTGCGTTGTCAGGTCGGCGTGTGGGATGGTAACTTGGCTACGAAAAGAAAACCAGATTCATGGAATTTTCGTGGGTCGTTGGGACGATTTACTGACTAAAGTACTGGAGGTTGCAAATCTGCAGGTTGCAAGTGTCGAAAATAGTAATAAGCGACTTGTCCTATATTACAGCAGTAAATATTTTTGAAAAAAACACACCCACAAAAGGCAGATCGGTCGCATTATTGAATCAACACCTTATTCCGAAGATCCCACATTTGACTTATTCAACTACACACAATATACAAAACAAAGTACAGTACAATATATACTATGCATAGAAGCGGTCCTGGCCCATACCACTTCTCCAACTACCACTAAACTCTTCCCGAAGAGAATTCCTAAGGTCAAACTTGGGGAGGCGGAGGAGTTATGTTTAGCTCTCCCATGGAGATATTTTGGTAACGGCCTTGCCGTGACACTGTTTTCCCGGAGACGCCGCTAGGCCCGGCGCTCCGGTAAGAAATGAGAATCCGGATTTGTCCCGGAGGTTGGGGGAGGTACCCGAGTAAGACGTATTATATTGGACAGGTGTGAGCTGGCCCTTCTCACAAAAGAGGGACAAACTTCAAATACCACTACACAATGATAATTTCGGCATAAGTACAAGATAGAGCTAATAATAGAAGCAAGAACTATAAATTAGCCAAATGCTGAGTTAGTCAAATTCAGCGGGAATACGTAAGAGATGGAGTCATCTGGAAAATCCGACGCAAAAGCCTGTAGCAACAAAAGACAACATGATGATACCGCTCCCTGTGCCTGTATTTCATGAAAATGAAAACCCAGGAACGAGGCACCGGTTTCCCTGGGCTTCACTTTCTGAATAAACTAACGTGTGATCGGTATTCCAAATGTTTGTGAATACAACAACAGCTGATTTATTTTTAGTTGGTCCTTTTGAAACTGTCAGTCTATGAATTTGTGACATTTTTGAAATTACGTAAAATCTGAAATAACTGCCTCGAAAAGATTTATGTATATTTCTAGCAAGGATAATACCAATACTGCTTGAGATGATCTGCACTCACGTCGAAGACTTTATGCGTTTTTGCGTCTTATACAAATGCAAAAGCATATACGCTCAGGCATCTATGTGCGTGTTTTGAAAAACGAGTGGATTTTGTCGCCTACTTTCAACTCAACAAGAGGGAAAGCTGGGAGGCTGAAATTTTGGGAGGATATTCTTACCCTATTTGTTACTTTTTTGTTTTAAAAAAGATCGATCATGTGCGTCTAGAACTGACGGCATTTTTCGACGGGAAAACGATTTCGGGAACTGACAAATGTAGGAAACTGTGTCGAGGAAAAGCGTCTCGAATGGAAACAGCAAACGGAAAAGATACATAAATTACTTGAATCTGTGTTTTGCAGTGCCGTAACTTCCCTTGTATAACGGTGCCGCCGTCAAACATCGGCACCAACATCAATCATGTATTCAGCTCTCTTTGTAAACTGGATCTAACTGGAGCGAGGAGGAGCTCCAGATGGGCTCGGTAGCCGATTTTCCCAGCAAATTTTTACTTTTAACACTTGTTTCTACACCGACCGGATGCCGTCTACCAACATCATCATACCAACCGGACGCCGTCTATCACCAACATCAGCACACCGACCAGACACCGTCTACCAACATCAGCACCCCGTCCGCCAACATCAGACCGTACCTCCCATCATCTTTTTTTCTTATTGTTATTTGCTATTGCATAAATGTACCTATGTTACCTCTAGTTGACAAAAACAATTGAGATTAAGCATAATAACGATAGGAAACTCCAGAAAAGTCAAGGTCGGAAAGAAGGAACTTGTGTTTTCACCACATGGTACCATGAGCCGGGACTGCTTTCTTCGGCCATTGCTAAAACTGTTGCCAGCAACTGAAAGCAAACAAAAAGAAGACTCAGGTTGTTGAGAAGAAAGAAGAAATGTCAGGCTCTTTAAGACGCTCGACTGGCCCAGCCAAAGGGCGATTGCAGAAGTACTTGATCGAAGTACCACGAGTAACGAAGCCTGAAAAAATGGCCACTTGTGAAGAAAGAATTGAGCACTACGAATGACTGCGTAATGAACTGCAGTATTCTCAACGGTCGATAAGCTCTGCAGTCAGTATTCTAGAAAGAATCAATGAGCAGTGGTTACAAATGATAGGGCAGGCT